TTCACTGGTACTGTACAAACAAAATTTGATAAGCGTTATACTCTTCCCTCGATAAAGATGTTCATTGAATTTGGTGATTAAGAAAAAATTTTACCAAAACCAACCGATCCGGCAGACACAGTTATCAGATTTCAATTGAGATTAATACGTAGAAGAGAACGTTCTCGTTGTACTTGAAAGTCATAAGAAAGTGCTTGTAATATTTTCTAATGTTCTTTTATCTTGATATGAAAATCCAAGATAACACCATATGAGACGTAATGGTAAAAAATATAAATAGTAAAGTCACTGTCAAGTGTCTCTTAGCCATGGACCATATACGTCCCATAAGGTCCCATAGAAGATGAAGCTCCACCAGGTTTCCCACGTTGAAAATCCTGCGGTGCGTTTTCATGAGCGACGCCAGTCACTTGAACTTGAGGAAAGATCAAGGAGACGTAAAGCCGTCCCCCCGTTGAACGAAACTGGACTTGATTTGTTCCCAGAAGCCCTCTTTAATTCCGCGTCTCCTTTTGTTTTCTGCGCACAAGAGTGAAAGAGAGAGAGAGAGAGAGAGGAGGGAGCAGCGTCGGGACGCGCGGTCGCTCAGCGCTAATTGACGGAACGAGCGCAACGAGGTCGAGTGATTGGCTAGTCTTTGTAAGGTCCTTTGAGGACGGGCCTTGTGCTTGAGGATTAGCATCGTAAACGAAGTTCAGGGTGTGTTCTGACAGGAGACCATAGGAAAAGGACATAGGGATAACCCATGTAAGGATCCATAAAGTATACACAGAGCATGAATCGATCACATATTGAATGCTGTACCTTTAATCCAAAAAAAAAATTGAATCGACTCGAAATTTTGAGCAATTAAAAAAATTATGTCCAACCAGTCACTTTCGTGATATAGAAAAATTGAGAAGGGTACTACCTAGGATTGGAGTAAAACCTATGTCCGTCCTTGTCTTACGCACGTAACTCCCAATAAGTCCGTCTCTCTCGCACTCCCAGGAGGTATAGTAAAATCGCAAATCTCCCTTCTTCAACACCAAATTCCATCATGAGCATATGGTCGCATGACAGCTGTCAAATCTGACTGTCACTTCACTTTGACGTCCCTATAAACATTATTAACGTACACACAATGTCTCCGTGACATCGGAAGATCAGACGCATTACAGCTGCATTCGTTATTACGCAATCAAACTATTACCGAGTGCGTCTATCGGTCGCATCATTGACAGCGTAATCTCGCTCGAATTAACCCTTAGCTAATATTAGACCGGTTAAGATTACTCGCAGGAATTTAACAACTGACAGTTCGAGTATTCAATGACACAGTGTAAAGATTTTCCAAATTGTCTCACAATCAGGTATAATCCTCCACGCCGATCTCAATATTTTCTTTTCGTTCGATACCTACACGTAGTATATCTATACTCTACCATATATATTGCGACGCGTACACATGCATATATATTGCGACATTTAAAGTCTGTCACAAAATCTAGCACATCAAGTGTTTTAATACCTCCTAAAAATTATAAAAGTTTCCGCGAACCGACTATTGCGGTTAGGTTCCTTAACGAAACACGTATTAAAGTCCAATTTCATGGGCGAGTATATAACTATATATACATATAGTATATCGGTAAGCCACGATGCGCGAAGAACACGCGTTCGCCGTGGAGTCTCGTGCGTGTCTCACGCAGCCGGCGCCTGGACGAGACCCACCTGGACAAGGAATGTATTGAGAGGGACTATACGAGAGCGTAACGTTCCCGCTAAACAAATAACCTGTTACCTCAAGAACGTTCATTCACTTGGCGCATCTGTCTCGTTAACTGTTTTCCTTCCACAACGTCTTGATTAATTATCCACATGTTTTTTTTTTTTTTTTTTTTTACGGGGGATGCGAACTCAATTAGATCTACATAGGGACTTTTTCTGTTGGCCCGAATAATAAACTTCCGATACGTTAATTAATCGAACTGACTCTTTCAACGATAACGTGAAGTTGCTTCGTTAGTAAATGATATATGGGACTGGAATGTACATTGCTGAATCTGTGCTCATATGTGCTTATAGATTTTTCGAGATGACTGTACATATCGTACACGGGTTTTCAGCAGGTTGATGCAGTCATATGATGAATTATGAGAAAGCGCCCAAGTGGAGCGTCGCGATGCTTGTACAGGTACAAGGGACCATTTGAGAGTTAGTGGTATGGTAAAATTAAAAGAGGGATGATGCAATTTTTTTTTTAAATTATTAAATTTATACTTTGTCACTGGACGCTACGGGTACTACCATAAGCGATACCATACACGTGTTTTGTATTTTTAATGTTTATGGTGTTATCGCTATGAGTTACGTGGTACGGTGAGGTCTCTGAGTTCGATGTAACAGTGGTCCTGGTCTTTTGGTGTACACGTAATAAACTTGGCATCCTGATGACAGTGCAGCAAGATATGGGTAACCCCCACCATTATTCCCAGAATCCATTTTGAAAAGCGGGCCGCGATCATAAATATATAAATATGGTGGGTTATTAATAAGATTCAGGCCGGATACCGATAACACGGGCTGGTTAGTCGAAGAAGTTCTGGAGTTTGTGTGGTATAGGAAAAAGTTTAGAGCACAGTGAGCGAAACAGTATAAATCGAACGAGTGTATTTTTTTGGCCGATCGAAAGTGAATAAAGAAAAAAGTTTCACTTGAAAATTATCAAAGCGTCGTACGCATTAGTTTCGACGACGTGCCAATTTTCGATTGAATAAATAAACGCGTGTGTATATATATATATATATATATATATAGATACACCTTGTACGATTTTTAAATGCAAATAGAATCAAGGACTATCGAGACCTTCTTCCTTTTACAGGGATCGCCAACCCTACCGACCGTGTCCGATTATCCTAGATACACCTTGTACGATTTTTAAATAGTTTCGACGACGTGCCAATTTTCGATTGAATAAATAAACGCGTGTGTATATATATATATATATATATATATAGATACACCTTGTACGATTTTTAAATGCAAATAGAATCAAGGACTATCGAGACCTTCTTCCTTTTACAGGGATCGCCAACCCTACCGACCGTGTCCGATTATCCCGTCCAGGTCCTGCGCATGCAAATCGACTCATTCGTCGCGGATGACTGGACGAAATTGTCACGATAATCCGAGCGTGATTGGTCGCTGTATTGTCGCAGGGATAATCGACAGGGATGAAGTCTGCGAAGTATTTCAACACGAAGATACCGTCGATTCACGTGGCTATCTCGTGCGCAGTGACGAGCAAAGAAAAAGAGAAAGGAAATTTTGGAATAAAATAAATCCAGCGATCTCGAGCCTTGGCATCGACCAAGAGAAGGAGAGGAGCATCCATTATTCCATTCCGTTCAAGTGATCCCAGCCGGCAATCTGGTCTTATAAAGTGAGACCACTCTACGTCGTCATGGCGACTGTGACCGCGTCGATCTATCAAACAAATCGCAGTCGGACTTCTTATATAAAGTCAAGCCGACTTTACAACTTACTACCGAACGAACGTAAACGCCGTACCGCCCACTTGTTACATATGGCAGCAAGAAAGGCTACGTATGACAAATCCCAAAGAAGAGACCAAAGATAGTGGACACAGTGTCGGCCATTGTTGTAGCGATATTCAAAGATTTAAATCCCACGCCGAGCGAGTCAAGTCCATTGACTAAAATTTTTGTCGTACCTATAAAGGTATACAGGCTGTATGAATGGAATGGAGATACTGAGGATCGTGTGAAAATCTTTGAAACTGTCGGTAATGTAGGAATCTGGCTATTCATAATCTACGGCTCTGTGATTCGGTTTCTAAGCAGCCGTCCGGCTATGGGAGTCACTGAGCTTCGAGGACGTATTGCTCAAGAGTGAGGAGTCTGGGTCGAAGGTATAGAATAAGGTCGACACCTACGAGCTATGGATGAATACCGGAAGAGACTAACTAGTGTTATGGTTACTAGTTTAGTAGTCTGGTACCAGTCTGTAGGGTTGTACAAGCTTTAATTGACACGTGATTACTCTCACGTGTTCGAAAGCAATAAGTACCAGTCACGGTATCATTATAATGTTTAGCGTGTAATTAAACAAATGAGTCAGACTGGCTGATTCAGTGGTACACTGTCTATGGACGTCATTTAAGTTGCGTGGGCTATAGCTATTTTTTTTAGTCTTTGGTACCTAGTCCATGTTACCGGTAGGTAAATAATGTCTTGGTAAATTGGACGTATCGTTCTTGTAAGACACTTTGCTCTCGTTAAGAATATAAATTAAGTCATTCCGGCACTTTGTATATGCTAATGCAAGAGTCGAGAGAGAGAGAGACGGAAGGTATAGAAAATATTTTTTTACAAGACTCCCTGTTAATTCCAATAGGATTCAGGTGCCCATCCGATTCGTTCCTGTTTTAAGGTCAGATGGAGTAAACTAGCCGGCGGGTCGGTTGAACCAGGTTTTGTCTCGTGTTGTAATAATTATCCTCGTCCCACGCTTACCACCATTTAGGGGATCCTCGAATGTGGCATCATTGAGGATAAATGAAAGGATGAATGACCATAATAGAATATGGCCCGGTAGTACTACCTAAAACGTGCCTTAACGTGACGGTAGTTCAATTGTATTCTATGGGCAAGTATAGGAGTTTGATAGATTACAAATTCTTATGAAAATATTGAATTAATTAAAATGAATCTTGAGAAATGTATAAAATATGTAATTATCGTTGATTGGATTTTAATTATGCGATTGCTAAAGATCAATGTTTTTCAATGGATTCCTATATCAAAGCGTAGATTATACAATGGGAACTATATAGGTATATTGCGCAATATACTGCCTCTAGGTATTTCACGATTCGTTGGCTGCTAATTAATTGATTTTATAAATACATCAGTAAATATCATTTCACACAAGTAGTCGTAAACTATGCTGTATTGATGAGCAGACATCGTAATAGGAAATTGCGCCTTACTTACCAGACGCCTACTCAGACGTAGATCGTAGAGTTTCTGGGAAAGCTCCTTTAGGCTTCTCTTTAAGGTTCCCCTTCTACTTTGATTTCTTCTTCTTCTTCTTCTTCTTCTTCTTCTTCTTCTTCTTCTTCTTCTTCTTCTTCTTCTTCTTCTTCTTCTTCTTCTTCTTCTTCTTCTTCTTCTTCTTCTTCTTCTTCTTCTTCTTCTTCTTCTTCTTCTTCTTCTTCTTCTTCTTCTTCTTCTTCTTCTTCTTCTTCTTCTTCTTCTTCTTCTTCTTCGTCTTCCTCAGAACAGTTAGTCTCAGGAGCTTCTGGTTTTTCTCAGTCGACCCGTGTACCGCAGAGACTGACTCATCCAGTCCGATCTGGAGTATCGAACAGTGCGATGATTTTTCCTTTTGTATTTGAACGATTTTTCACTTTTTTATATTCTCTTTATCTTTTGTTGATAGACACAATAATAGCTGCTGGCTATCCAGTCAGCGTTCCCTGACGGTGAATAAGATTCGGTCGAGCGCCGTACGCGTGGCCGCTGTCAGATTTGCTATACGGACTGATTCACTAGGCGGTCTGGGCTTTTACCTTGTTATTTCAGGCAACGGTTTTTGTATAAATCCTGATAAATTTTTCATGCGAATTCCACGCCGTTCCCTCGTCCATTTGATACGTCTTGATGTCTTCCTTACGGTTCGACCATTTCTTCTTCTTTACGTATACATATATTTCACTGTCAACGAGCGATCGGACAGCTAGAAAAACATGCGAAAAGTCTCACGTTATTTAAGTAACCTAATTTTTCAAACAGACACTCCTCGACCGATCACGTTCAAATTTCATAGAAAAACACTTCACGGTATTATACGGTCTAACCTTTAAGACTGCGTAGATCTCAACAGGTTTCTTCTCGAATTTCCAAGAGGCACTTAGTACATGTGAATATCACTAAATCAAAGGCACTGTCCTTCCTAACCTCCAAACAATTATTCCATCCACAAATTTCACCTTGTACGAATCCAAAAAATATCCCTGTAGAATCACTTTTGCGTATTCACCGAATTTTTCACTTCCCCCGGTTAAATCGATGACAATCCAATAAGTTTTATATCCAATGTGCGATTTTGACTGTCAGTTCCTTCGGTGCTAACAAATGGTTTAGCTGCGTTGGGAATTTTGAAAAAATAAGCACCTTGTCACGGACTCCTCGCAGGTTTACTACGGCGAGTCGTAGCAGCAGTGTCAGCAATAACAACAGCAACGGCAACAAGGAGCGCACTAACATCAACGACACTGACCGATGATGATAGGATGGAAGGATGCGCTTAGGGAGCTCAGGGCGAAGTGCCAGAGCGAAGCTTGAAATAACCGCTCGGGCTGATCTCTCTTCCCCGTCCACCAACCCCGACCAAGACGTCTACCCCCACCATTGGTAAAATACCCCCACCACCAAGGAGAACGCACACGTGCGTCCCTCTGTGCATTCGTGCTGTGTCTACGATGCGTGCCCACTGATGTCTATGCTTGCTGTACGCCTTTTGGCTTGCTGGAGTTCTGGCACTCGCGACATGCATTTTTGCTGGGGTACTCTCGCACGCTTGAGATTATATCTTTTTTATTTTATATTTACTTTCTTTACTTCCTCTCTTTCTTCTCTTGCACGTATATATATATATATATATATATATAGATATATGAATGGTCGGTATACTTATGTAGATTTTTATAGATTTTAAGGTTAAGGGTTGATTTTTGAAGGTACGTGCTCTTTTGAAATTTCCAAACTTACGGTAGGCTTTGGGGGTTCGCAGGTATTACACCCTCGGAGGGTTGGCCTGCTTTTCTTTTATTCCTCCCTTATTTTGGCACTCCCTCTTTCTGGGATAGGAACACGTTTAGGACATGTGTTGCTGATGCGTCGTACAACCACTACGACCCCTCAGGATATTCAACACCGTTAGCCTATAGGAACACACCCTTGATTTTTCTCTTCCTTTTACCAACCCTCAGTCATATTTATAGAAATTGTATGCAGTCCACTAATCATATACAGACGTGTATGGGATTCATTTGTGAGATTGGTTAATAGCTGGTTATGCGCGTGTAATTAATATTGCAAATATTTTATTTTTATCTCGTTTTATGGTTGAGGATTTATATTCCTTGTGGGAGAAATTGTAGAATGCTCGTAGGTGTGATTGTGGTTTTTATAGGCGTCGGGAAGATTTGCTGGAAAGCCGCTGATGGTTTTATTGTACCAGAAGCAGCTAAATTTAAATGTTTATGGGGTATCCATAAAGCGATGCCGTATACGTTGATGGTGTCAGCGGGTTTGGTTTTAGTAATGCCGTAAGACAATACCGCTGCTCAAGCTTATGGGATCTAAGTGAGAAACTCGCTGCCATAATAGCTTTATGGTATTCTTCAAGAAGATAGTATGGTCGCCATGGGAAATAAATTCAGTCAATCCTCACAGGCCCTGTAGAATCTTCCGAGCATCTCTTATGGTATGTGACTTAAGAAATAACATTAATTAATTTGTATGGTTCTTTTAATTCTTAATTTTTATACCTATTTAATGTCACTTTAACGCTGTAAAAAGTCCAATGCTTCTTACACTGTAAGTACCAATTCAGCTACCTTTCTTTTTCGTTTCCAGCTTGATGGACCGTTACGAGACGTTTATAGGGTATTTGCGGAGAGATATAAAGTCTCATAAGCATAGCGACATATTGGATTACGCATTCTGAATCTTGAAAGTACGGTTGAATCGTTAGAAAGATATACTGGATACTTATTTTAGATACCCGAAATTCAGTGAGCCAGTATAAAATACAAGATAAGTCAAAGAATGCGAAGCAAAGTTTTTTCTGTTACAAACCTTAACCGGAAGTGACGGGGGGAAACATAAGTCAAGTTCGCCCCACGTACGACCCAAAGAAAGATTGGCCAAAAGTCCCGTCGCTTTATGCTTTATGCTTGCGGTTATTCGAAACCCACCTTAACGCGCTCGAGTATTGTTTTACCAGATTTCTACAAGTTACAGCTGTTTTTCCTGATCCCAGCAAAGAAAAAGGAAAGGAAGTCAATTTTGAAAGACACACAAAATTTAACAAAATTCACAACCATTTTTTATATTACAAGCATCTAATCGACGGTACTTTTCAATTACTCAACTATCTAGTTGTACGTACACAAACTTTCGTTATTCGCAGTCAACGGTTTTTTGAAACAGTCCAACGGAATGTTTCCGAAATTACCAACGATGAGGCTTCGTGGCAACGTAAGTTGCGTAGTAGGAAAAAATCCAAAACGAATGAGTCTTCACTCGCGCCAACTCGCGTGTTCACATCGTCGAGCTGCTCAGGTAGTTTTAGAGCATTTGGTTCACACAATTCTTCAGTCTCCACCTAAAGGTATTCTGGCAGCAATGAAGGTACGAGCTTACGAGTTGTTTAGTTGAAATTGCACGGAATTAAAAAATATATTGGATTATAATTACACTGTTTCAAATATAAGTATATAATTAACCTAGTACAAGAATATATTACCTATTATCAAGTTACAGTAGACCTTTCAAAACTATAGACGTTTCAGAAGGATAGCAATTTATCCACGTCTCACGTCCCTCTTGCTGCATGAATTACGAGTGGTTAGTTTTATCAGGGTTTCTCAGGAGACTCGAGGCACAGGAGAGCCTGTATCGCATATCTTCAGACGGTTATTAATTTATCCATGTCTTAAGGTTAGGCTTCACTTTCTGCTTCTTCGTATTCTTATTCTTCACTTTTTACCGACACTTTTTCTTCCGACTGCTCCACCTTTTTCCGTCCACCACGTGCGAGCTATAGGGATAGATCTTTTTAGAGGTTAGGTTGCCGCTATTGCTAACAGGGCTAGAGAGTACAGTAGCAGTTTCCATGTAGCTGGTACGCAGGGAAGCAACTTCGGTAAATTAGTCAGGGCAAAACAAACAAGTATCCTTGACACTTCCGTCTTCCGGTTTTCTTGTCTCGACGCTCGGGAACGAACCAAGGGATTTCATTCGACTTCTCATACTTGCTGCTTTACGCTATTTCAATCGGGACTGAATTATACCAGCTCTGTGTATACACATTGGGGACTCGCCCGAATGCCTCTGGTTGACGGAGTTATTATTCTCGTTTCCTGGAGAAACTCGTCACGTGGAAGGAAATACCTTGTCGAATAATACTTCCATATAATACGGTAATTAGAATCGATATTGTTTCTCGCTGGCATTTCGGACGGTTGGAAAGAATCTGTGCCGAGAGGAAGTTTTGAGAGAATTTTAGTTTACTGATTGTTTATTTGGCTATGAAATCGAGCGGGAACGAATACGATAAACGTTACTGACATGTGGATCGATAGATTGTGACCAGATCACACGCACTTGAACTTGTTGGGAAAGGTTAGTATTTGGCTTCACGCGTGTATTCGTATCTCCGTAGGCAGTAAATTATCATCAGAGGGCAAGGGATCTTATCAGGGCCGTACTACGTAATATTTACTCCGTTCCATCTGCCGCTGTTATCGCTCTTTTTTTCTTCTCTTTGCTTCACAGTTCAAGAATCCCACGAATTTTGACCTCACCGATACGTCTTGAATCTCTGCCAATCGTAACGTTGCGGATGCTGCTATTTCTTTTGGAGATGGATGCGTTATGTCTTCCGGGAAGGACGGCAGTTGCATATGTAAACTATTAAGGTAAATTTACGTAAAACAAAGAAAAAAAAAAATTTTCAACTCGATTTCACGAACCGCTCAACAATTTTTCTTTCATCGTATTGCTCCGCAAAGAATTCTCAAAGTCAAAATTTCTCCTTCGCTCGTCCGCCATTTTTATTTTCAGATTCCCTTTTTCGCCGAAGCGTCACTCTCGTCATGGAAAATGTCTCCAGTTGCTGAAAGAATCTTCCGCCTTAAAAATCCTCTTTCTCTGTATGCTATAACCGGAATCAGCAAGACAAGTTCCAGCAATAATTTCTACCACAGCTGTTACACATACTTGACCTTCCTCTAGGAAATGGCAGCCTGCACGTAATTCCGATAGATTCGTCCTCAGCGATACCACGTCAAGTGACCAGCACGCGACATCAGTG